GCAGATTGCAGAATCACGTCGGTTACACATCCACAATTTTACATAATGCCCAATTAGTAATTGTTGTATTCTGCTACCTTTCCTATCCCCTACTATCCCCCCTCCCCTCCCCTCCCATCTTCTCTCTCTACCCCATCTACTGTAATTCATTACTCTCCTTGTTTATTTTCCCATTCCCCTCACAACCTCTTATATGTAATTTTGTATGGAAATTGCATGGAAATGAAGGGAGACCCTCATTGCTATGAATGTAAATCTTAACATAATCATATCATCTCAATGGCTAGCTGGCATCACCTTTCAACCAAAAATGCCATGCATCATATTACTTGGCTGTGGCTCTTAGCAGCTTAGGTTTGCTAGAGTTGGTAGCATGAAGGGCAGTAAATGAGAGATTTATATGATTTCATGAACTGGTTAAGAATAAAGTTCATTCCTTTAGCTTTAAGGGGGCCCTGATTACCCTCCCTTCCTTTGCAGTCCAGTGGAAGTGACATTTCTCATTTTTCCTGTGCTAATGTTTTTGTTCTGTGGCTGCACTGGTGTACATATGCTACAAAGTTAAACTTTACCTATGTATTTTAAGTGAGGAAAAATACAGTTTTTATCTGAAGAAGTATAATTGACTAATATGCTTCAAAGACCTTGAATAAAAAATAGCATATAAGGTTAGAAAGCTCCATGTTCTCCTTGGCAGAACTAAGAGATGGTGGCATCTGTGCTTCCTGGTGCTAAATTTTGGGGATAGCAATGGAATTCAAACATATCACTTTTTCTATTTCAAATCCCACTAATATCTTTTTCATATTATTATTTATATGTATTTGTACAGATATATAAATAGGCTACTAATATTTTATGTAATAAATAAAAACAATAAGTACTAATATTTTATGGTTGAAGCACAGAGATTAGATTTCTCTTGAAAATTTTACAATAAATGTCAAGAACTCTGAATTAGTCTCCTTTATTTGTGTCCTGCCTCCCTGACTCTCCTGTACGCCCACCTTAGCTTTTACTTTCCTCTGACATATTTTATAGTTTCTGTTACAGATTTGTACAGGGTTCTTTTTTTTGTTTGTTTGTTAATTTTATTTTATAGTGTTTGATGCTGTTGTAACTGGTATTTGAAATTCTGATTTTTTTCCTAATTTCTAGAAATATGAATGATTTTTATAAATTTATATATTTTTATATATTGATTTTATCTTTTTCACCCTTGATAAAAATCACTCATTTTCCTAAGTGGCTTTTGCATTTATAGATTTCATTAGATTTTTTGCATACATATGTTCTTTGAACATTCAGTTTTCTTTCTTTTTTTTCAATGTGAATAGCTTTTATTTATTTTTCATGTCTTAGCATCTAGAACTTATAATGCAATGTTGAATCAAAGTGTTGTGAGTGGACATACTTGAGTTGCTTCTGTTTTGGGGTGAAAAGTGGTAAGTCTCCCATCATTATATATGATGTTAGTTAGAAAATTTTACATGCCCTTTATCAGGTTGAGGAAGTCTCATTCAGAGTGTCATGAATGGGTGTTGAATTTGTCAAATGCTTTCTTTTCTCTAAGATATCGAGATGATCATATGATTTTTAAAAAATTTGTTACCTAAGAAATTATCCCATAATTTAAAATTTCAAAGCAACCAACATTTTTTTTTTAATCTCACAGTTTTTGTGGGTTTTGAATCCAGGTGTTCCTTATCTGTGTTCTTCCATCTCTCTGTGTTATAGGTGACGTTCCAGTTAAACAAAAACTGAAATTGCATTTGCACTTGAAGGCTCTACTTATTTGGTTGTTTTAAGGCCTCAGTCCTTCTGTATCTGCCTCTTCACAGGGCTGCTTCAAGATAGGCTGTCCCACCCCCCACCCCCCCAAATAGTGATATAAGGGAGAGGAAATGAGAATGAGGGAAAAGGAGGTAGAAAAACAATGCAGAATCTATTGTCTTTTATACACTATTTTCTCTGAAGTAGTATTTCATGATTTCTGCCATACTCTATTGGATACAAGTCAATAAATGCAGTCTATAGTTAAGAGTTGAGAATTAAATAATAAGAAGGATACCTAGAAATGAGTGCCATTGAGTACCATTTTAGAGATGCAACATTATGCATTTTTAATCTTAAGTCGACCTTACATCCTTGAAATTAATACTAGATTGTCATGATTTAATATCGTTTAGATATATTATTGGATTCACTTTGTTAAAAGTGGACCAGTAAAATTTTGTGTCTACATGTTCATGAGAGAGATTGAGCCTGCAGTTTCCTTATAATATTTTTTGTCTAATTTTTGTATTGGTATGATGCTGACATCAAATAATGAATTGGGAAGTAGTCCTTCCTCTTCAATATTTTGGAGAAATTTTGAAAGAATTAGTTTTATTTTTTCCTTAAATATTACTTTATCAGTGGTGCCATTGAGTCCTGGAAATTGTTTATGGTTTTGGCTCAAAATATAATATCTTTAATAGATATGGTCTATTCAATTTATCTATTTCTTTTTGAGGGAATACTGGTAGCTTTTGTCTTTCAGGACACTTGCTTAATTTTGGCTGTGTTGCTGAATTTATTAGTATAACATTGTTCATAGTATAGTATCTGTAGAATTTTTAGTGTTTCTATCTCTCCCATTTCTAATATTGGCAATATATATTTTCTACTTTTTTGTTTTATCAGTTTGGCTAGAGAGTTATCAAATTTTTATCTTCAGCTTTTGGGTATATTGGTTTTCTGTTTTCTATTTATTTTCACTCTAATATTTATTTATTTGTTTTAATCTTCCACTTATTTTAGGTTTCATTTGCTCTTCTTTCCCCAGTATGTTAAGGCAGAAGTCAAGATCATCATTTTGAGAACTTTCTTCTTTTGTATATGCATCGTTACTACAAAGTTGATTTTGATGTGCCTTTACATATTTTTCTTTGTATTTATTATGTTTAAGTTTATTGACTTTTGATCTTTTGGGCCCAGGTGTAATTGAGTGCTTCGGTAATGTGACAATCTTTTCTTCACTACTTTAAAAAGAATAAAAGCCCTTAAAAATATTGAGTGCTTTTAATGCGCTTGTGATAAATTGCTAGGATTTGATTGTGAGTAGGAGATTCTACCTTCAGTCTTTAAAAAAACAACTTTAGCAGTTTTGTGGTATACTGAAATGCATGATATTATTCTTCACACTTTACTTATAATTGAACCTGTGCTTAGTAGTAGAGGCACAACCCTGTCACAAGAATTGATACTTAATATTTAATTTAAAAAATATCAAAACTTAAAAGAAGTTAGTTTGATTATACATACTTTTCTACTTTACTGGTTTAAAAAATTACATAAATTGGCACATTTATTATGTAATTCAGACAATGTAGGAGTGTACGAAAATTACTGATCTTATCCTTTATCATGCATTTCCATATGTCTGGAGGTATATGCAGTTAAGCTTAGTGTGTTTCTTTCTATGCTTACATGCTGATACACCCCAAAATATTAATGTCTCTGACTGTTTCTGTATGTGTCTCTGTGTCTGTACACATCCATATACATAGACAAAATTATTCCTCATAAGAAATCAACCATTACTCTTTATTCTGAGAAACTTGTAATTTTTACATGAATGATGTGGGCTTTTCTTAAATTTCTTCTGGCTTTCTTCATTTGATAGCATATAAGGATATGGAAACTTTTCACATTAAGAAAAAGATTCTAAGAGCAATTTCATTTACAGTAATCTTTTCTATTAAGAGAATAATAAAGTGACCTAGTCTGTTATCTTGCTGTTGATGTGACAAAATACATAAAATAAACAACTTAAAAGCAGGAAACACTTATTTTTGGCTCACGGTTACAGAGCTTCAGGACGTGGTCATTTGGTTTTGTAACTTTGGGCCAGTGATGGAACAGAGCAGCATATTGGGCAGCAAACAAAAGAGCAGAGCTACTCAGTTCATGGTGATTGGGAAGCTGGAGCCTTTGGAGAAAGGACGGAGGTCCCAATGCCTTCTTCAAGGGCTTGCACACCCTTATCTGGCTTCCTTCCACTACCTCTTAGTAATGCCATGGCCTAGAGACCAAGCACACTAGCCTTTGGGGAACATTTAAGGTAAACAATAACTCTTAGGTTTGCAGACAAGTTAGAGACTGCACATTTCTTTCTTAAAGACATCAGAATCTCCAGGGGTTAAGGAGAATTAAAGGGTTAGAACAAAGCAAAAAAGAGAAGCAAAAGTTAGACTAAAATGAGAGTAGAGTAGGCTGAGTATGAAGAGAATGAAGATATTGGGAAGGAAGTAGAGATCTAGTGGAATAATAAAAACAGACTCTTGAAATGAGTGGTGTTAAGTGTTTTTCATTGATAGTGTTATTTCTATATATCTGTTAGCTTTGGACTTAAAAAGAAAACCCCACAATTATCCTCAATTCTTTAGCATATCTAATCATTAGCTCTATTCTAGTTTGTAGCTGAAATTATGTTGGGGACAGATTTTATATATACATATATATATGTATATATATTCAAACATAATATTTTTAAGCAAAAAATAGTGCCTTACCCCCCCCCCTTTAAGCCTGTAGATGATGGTCAGTTGGTTAAAGTGCCTGTCTGATTCAACCCAACCTTTTTTTTCTTTTTAATTAAGTCAAGTTACTACCCTCTTAATATTCAGAAATATCCACTTGGATAAAGCATAATGCAGAGTTCAAGGACCATGTAGGGCTAGTAGTCTATATCATAACTTCTTTTTTTTTACTGTTTTTTTTTATTGGTTGATTTAGAGATAATTTTTAAAAATGGAAGCTCTAAGTAAGCATAAAAAGAATGATTGTGAGAAATGTTTTGTATTGTAATGAAAGGTTTACTGTGGCTTTTAGAATTTGGGCTTTTTGGATATTTCCTGGAGTATAAATCGGCACACTTTCTAGATGATAGTGCAGCATGTTTAGTGATATTAAAATTTCAGTGGAGAATTCTGAATTTAATTTCTTTTATTTTCCAGATATGTGTCACAAAGATGTCTACACGGAACTGTCAGGGGATGGATTCAGTGATCAAACACCTGGACACAATTCCTGAGGATAAAAAAGTCAGGGTTCAGAGGACACAGAGCACTTTTGACCCATTTGAGAAACCAACTAATCAAGTAAAGAGGGTACATTCTGAGAACAATGCCTGCATTAACTTTAAGACCTCCTCTGCTGGCAAAGAATCACCTAAAGTTAGGCGACACTCCAGCCCCAGCTCGGTAAGTGCTGTCTCCTCATTTATCACAGGGTGAAAACAGGGAGACTATCCCTCTTGTAATAGTAGCACGCTGTGCTGAAAGACAGCAGGTGTTTTTATCAGTGTGTTTTTATGGGTTTTCTCCCAGGGTGGTTTAATGTTTGGGAAGGAGAGAGAGGAGAAGAAAATTGTATGCAGACTATTTAATCATAAGCACCCAGCAAGCAAATGAATGAAATGACTCTATTTTTGGAAAAATTCTTTTTTAAAAGTTGTTTTTAGATAGAGAAATTCTGATTAAAAATATTTTGTGTTTCAAACTCTTGGAGAGGTTCTTAAACTTTATTGTGTTTGTGGCAATAAGAACAGTTTTGATTAGCGAATTCATAAAGTATCATTTTAGAACAAATGTCAAAAGTTGTTCACATGTGGTATTACAGTTTGTTTTCAATGGAAATAAATTTGAACCTAAGAGATATACATTAAAATTGGTCTTCAAAGAGATATGCTCTTCATAACTCTAAAGGCAACTCTTTTCTTTTGACCTAAGAAGGTTGCCTTGGTTTTGGTTGCTATAACATATATCATAGATTGAATGGCTTAAACAAAAGAAATTTCTTTCTTACAGTTCTATAGCTGTGAAATTCAAGATCAAGTTTCTACCAACTTTGGTGTCTAATGAGGACATTCTGCTTGGTTTGCAAATAGTCATTTTTTTCCCTGTTTCCTCTCAGGGTGTGGGGGGATCGATCCTCTCCCTCATATCTCTTATTATCTTATTATAAGGGCACAAATTCCATTCACAGGGCTCCAACTGACCACATTACCTTACAAAGGCCTAATCTCCTAATACTATTACATTGGGGATTGAAGATTTTCAACATGAATTTTGGAGAGACACAAATATTCAGTCCATAGAAAAAGATAAAATTCCAAGGTTATTGCCTCTCTATATCTGTAAAATTTTTCCTGTAAAAAGAATGCCTGCATTTAACATGGTAAAAAAATCCCATTATCATTTGAAATTAAATAATTTTCATATTTAATCTACACATAATTTTTTGACTTAGATGTTTTAAGAGTTTAGAAGGTAAGGGAATGCTCAGAGAATTTTATTTCTGCTATCTTGCCAAGAAACACCTGCCATTTCACAAATTTTAAGCTGTAAATTTTATGAAGGCAAAAACTGAGCTTGAAATGTCAACTGCTAGAAGAGTATTGACACTTCAGTTAATTTAAACTGTATGACTTTGCACAATCTTATGGTATATTTTATATTAATAAGGCTGAAGTAAATATTATTAATGTAATATTTGTGAGAATTGATTATCTGATTATTTCTTAGACATTTCC